TTGTTTTACAGTTTGATATCCTAGCTAATTTAAAGCAGCTTTTCAAACCAACAGATAATTAATAGACCTATAATAATAATATTAATAATAATAACAGACAGATAGATAGAAAGCTAATAGATAAAGTTCTAGAATTGCTCAAGGTGGCTGCAATTTGGAGTAGCTGTTACTTTCATTCTGGGATATTGCTTTTGAAAACTATTTCCTCTTTTTTTCTGGATCAAAATGGCTTTTTTTTAAATGAAAACTTCCTCTGGTATTGGATGCTGTGCAGCTGAAAGGATTTTTACTGAAACCTTTTTACTTTTGGACATTTGTTATGAAGTATAACCATGACAACAAGATGGCTTTCACAACAGGAAGCATCTAATATTACCTCAAATACAGCCCCAAATTCCAAATGAGTTGTAAAAGAGGCGCCGTGGATGCATTGCTGTCTACCTGGTGGAGGTGCTCAAGTGACTGACTGCTGATCCTTGGAGCTGGCAGGAAACATGGCTCACAACAACAAGAAGAGCTGTCTGCAATGATGAGGAGCTCAACAAGCTGCTGAGAGGAGTGACCATCGCTCAGGAGGGAGTTCTGACCAAGGTGGTCCTGCTGCCCAGGAGGACTGAGAGGCCCGCTGGGTTCAGGTGGACAGATTGGCATCCATGGCCAGATTCTTCAGATCTGCTGCAGGACAGACTGTTGTGGGAGATCCTTCCTGCCCACGACTCTTAATGAAACCAGGATGATGCGCTACATTTAACTTCCCTTTGGGACTAATAAAGTATTTTGAAATGAATAATTAAGTTCTGCTGGGAAACCACCAGGTTTGATCCAAGCTCTGTTATCAGAGTTTTAATTTAGAATAAAAAGTTTTATATTTTATGTGATAATGCATCAACATCAGGACCGAGTGAGAGGAAAAAATTTTGTACAAATCTTTAACAGCCAATCAATAGGACGGACCGAGAGAAAGAGATTTTCTAAAATCTCTTAGTGATTTTGAAAACAATATTCATATTTGGAGTACAGTACAGAGCAGCCCTTTTATAAGAACCGTGAGCAGGCATCATCTCTTCTTAAATAGAAACCCGAATGAAGCAGCTTTGTGCTTTTTTGTTTTTTTTTACAGCAGGAGTCACGACAATATTTCATTAGGTGCAGACAAACTACAGAAACTGTCTGTTAAATATGTTACCAAGCAACCACAGCTTTGCAAAGACCTGTGTGAATAATAGCTCTTTTTCTGGACTGTAATGAAAACTCGTCTGTAGAAGTTGTGTACAATGCCTTTTCATGATGAGGGTCAAGTCTGCATCAACAGCACAATAGATGCACATTTTCTATATTTTATAACTTGTGCATGATGCATAACAAAAAAAAAAAGAGCATGCTGCCATCAATGTGTGGTGCACATTATTTTTCTAGAGAATTCACTGTAATTACCTTTTATACTCCTTAAGACTGCAGCCCTTCTTTCTTCAGTGTCAACCGAAGCTGGCACTCATGATGGCATTAAAGCCTTTAACGTGTTTTTATGACGGATTAAAAAAAGTTATGTGAGAAAGCAGAGAGGAAAAGGAGTTGTTCTTTTTGCTGCCTGTCAGCCAAATTATGTAAACGCTCCAAATGCAAGTAAAGAGCCGAGGTGATGGTTTGCTGTGCTGGTAATTTTACACAACAAAGTAATAATAATACAAAAGACCAGACAACATATTCCACAAATTTACTTTATAAAAGATTGCATGTTGCTGGACAGTCACATCAATCACTTGGATTTACTCTAATGATGGCAGTTGGGATGAAGTGTAATGAGACACGTTGAAAACGAACAGAAACAGCAGGCGCTGCGCTGAAACATTTCTTTTGTGTTATATATTGTTTTTTTCTTCTTCTTTTAAATCTATGTTTGTCAATGGACGAAGTTGATGATGTTAAAATTCATGTTTTGTTTCCAGAGTTAATCCACCTTTTACATCATCTCTGCACTTTTCGTTAGAACAGAATCCTCGGCCTCGTTACATCAGAGGTGCACCATGAATATTTAAAGTTTTTGCATAAGACACACTTTGTTGCATTGATTTCGACACCATTCGTGTCAATGTATACATACATATTTAAAAGATTTTATATGGAATGTGAAGTTACAAGTTAGTTACTCTTGGTGTGATGTTGCCTGCTGATGTGGGGGGGACCGAAGCAGCAGTTTATTTTCTCTTCTTAGCTGCACTCTAATGTGATTTTTAACAGTCTGAATTGTTGTGATGTTCCCTATCGTATTGTGTGAATACCATAAATGTTCATATTGCAAGAAAAAAAAAAAAGCTGTTACACAAAATACCAACCATAAATGCTTCAGTTGGGCTAGGGATGCACGATATTGGATTTTTGGCAGATATCCGATACTTATTTGTCCGATAACCGATACCAATATTGATATTTGTTTCCTAGACCAACTTACAGAGACTACATAGCTTTTTCTGCTGTGGAATTAAAATACTACATTATTCTGCATGGTCTTTGTCAATTTGACCTGCTATCAAATGCAGATGCCAAAAAGGGGGCTGAAAATGATGCAACACTTCAACTTAGACTATGTTTACTGTCAAATTTATTAATGACATTTACTCTCTCTAACACAATGACAACACTCGAACAGTGCAAATTTGTAAATTTTCACAAATTTAAAATAAACGGCGCGCGTGACGTGGGTGGGTTGTCATACAAAAACAGTGCCTTTTATATCGGTGAGTTATTTTGATGGAATGGCAGATGTACGATATTTAGCTTTATTGCTAATATCGGCCGATACAATACCATGCCGATAATATCGTGCATCCCTAAGTTGGGCATTTTCAATTTTAAATCCACCAGATTTTACATATTGCAAAAAAAACTATGTGCATTAAAACAATGCCAATATTTCAATGCACCTTTAGTTCTTTGATTGCTGCTTTTCAGTTGATAATTTATTTAACATTTTTGCAGTCAAGTGAAAACAATCGCCGTGAATGACAGGAATATCAAACATTGTGTTAAAATCGTGAGCTGACAAATACGTGACAAGATTTTATATATATATATTTTTTAGGTAAACAGTGTTTTGTAGTGAATAGTGATTAGACACATTCATTGACAACATTCAGTGGTTCACACACACACACGAGGGTGACAACAGCAATAAATTGGATTAGTGGAAAAGATCAAATAAATAAAAAAATCACAATCTTAAGTCTCAGCGACAAAGTGATTATTCGCATATACTCACTGTGTTTGTAACCAAAATACACACATAGTTGCACTTTACAGTCAAAACCTTTCGTTTTATTCCTAATTTTCAGTCTTTACTCCCTTTTTCACATAAATCAACTACTTAAATTTATATATGTATATATATATATATACATATATATGATCTATAAGAGTAGTGTATATTTTATCATCAAAATAATAAAAAAAAAAGAATATCTAAAAAAACGTGTCATTAAATTTACAGCTGTTATAAAGTGCAAGACTGTGATGGTAGTAGGGGAGGGAAAGTGCACGAGTCCTGCCTGTGAATCACTCAACGGATGCCATCGTGGTGCTGAGAGAAGTTTTCACACCAAACCGTGCCGACACAACAAGCGCACACCGAAACGTTGCACGGGAACTCTTCAGAGCACGTTCCAGCACATGATCGCCATCAAAGCAAAAGGAGAGGAGCCCTTTGAGCTCGGAAAGAAGAAACAAGCTCACACACACGGGCAGTGTTTTAAATGCTCTCTGGTTGTTAGAAGAATGAGACGGCAGAATGTAAATGAGCCTCGTTTAAAAAGATTTTCATTCACCGACTTCAGCGCTAAAGAATTTCTCACATTTTATTCCCATCCAGGTTTGTTTTCAGAATAAAAGTCTGCAGTGATTCTTTTATTAGTCCTCGGATCCAGAGTAAATCTGGTCAAATGTTACTCTCCAAACAAATCTCTATTTAATGGCTGAGACTGAGCTCACTGCCTGGCGAAAACATTTTAGTGCAATTAAAAAAAGGCAGGAAATGAACATTTTTGTTGCTGCAAACAGCTAAAAAAAAAAAAAAAAACTTGCTTCTCACATCAAATCTTTCAAGTGTTTACATTTTACATGAGCACCAAATTTCTGCCAAAGCGGACACAAAATAAACGGTTATTGACTATGAAAGGCAAGCGATCGTGTAATTTCTACGCTTGTCCGTCTGTTGGCAAAATATCTCACAAACCACTAAATGGATTTTAATGAAACACTCAAAAAAAGATCACTAAACACACATCTACAAAATGATTAACTTTGGAGTCAAATCGATTCAAGATGGCTGCCACAGCCAACAGAACTTAGATAACAAATGGCTGTTACGTGGCCAATTTTACAGATATCGAGTTGAAATTTTTGCAGTACTAGCTAAGACTGGTCCCAGTCACATAAATCAAGTTGAGATCTTTATTTAAAACTTGGGCATGCAAGGCGGGCGATGCCTTCCTTTAAGAAATGATAGTTCCATTAACCGTGTATTGAAAGTGTCTTTTGAAGACAAACGCAACCTAAAGGTTACGGCCTTTTTTTGCAGCGTCAACTTAAATTTTTGAGATCTTTATTGAGATTTATGTAAAAGAGAAACTAAAAATTCTAAGGGATCATTTTTTATCTCCCTCGTTTGGACTTGAATGCGAGCAGCTGCTGCGTGCGGCTTCACCTTCACTGACAGCCGTCCAGCAAAGCAAACACAGTGTGCAAACAACACACACACACACACATGTAAATGGCAGTTCCACTTAATAAACACACACAAAGCTCATCTGGAGCAGAAATCATCTTTGCACTAAACAGAACGTCACAATCCAGATTCTTGATGCATGCAGTGTCCCGTTTACTCTGATTTTAAGATTTTAATCCGTCCGTATAAATATTGGGCTACATGTAGCCTTTTAGCCTGACGGGTTCAAATCATTGCACAAGAGAAACATTCAGGCTCAGTCTGTGTCTACTTCACTCTATAGCTGACATCATTTAGGAGTGAAATCATTTGATTTCATCTGCTCCTGCAGATAAATCCTTTGTAAATCAGTGCGGTTATTGTTAGCAAGTGGTGTGAAGTTTAGTGTAAATGAATATTTACAGAAGAAAAAGAGGGCTTGGCACTGATTTGGTTTCATCACATCGACACACACAGTCTGTACAACCGTGCGTAAATGAAAGCATGGAGGACCGCCTCTGCGCGATCTTTATTCCTATTTCTGTGCACTCCTGTTTGTCTTCACGATCCTCCTCCTCGCTCTCACTGTGTGGGGGAGCAGTCGTCCAGATCCAGCAGCTCCCTGACCAGTCTCTCTCCGAACTGCGCTCGGCTGTAGCGCTTCACCGTGTAGGCGTCGGACATCTTGTAGAGGATGTACGCGTTGTTGATGGCGATGCTGATGCTCAGCCAGAACACCTGCTGCCAGGTCTTGTTGGGCTTATGGAAGATAAAATACCTGGGAGATAAAAAAAAAATAAAAAAAAATAGAAGCAGCTGCTTACTGCATGGTTTCTATTTGAAGATTTAAAAAAAAGTGTTTTTTGATGCGGCACATACTTGCTGTACTTGTCGTCGTATTTGCAGATGTAGCTGAGGTGTGCGGCAAACGCCTCAACGGCCAAGGGACATGGAATTTCTCCACTTTTCCTCTTAATGATTATACCTGTCACAAACACACATTCGTTCAATCAACTTTATTTACACAGATAAGAGCCTCCAAGACTCATTTACAAGGGAGATCTTTTCAGACTATATGTGTCAAAGTCAAGGCCCGGGGGCCAAATGTGGCCCTCGTTGACATCTTATCTGGCCCCCAAGATGTTATTTTAAATGTAAAATACTTTCATCACTTCAGTTTTTTCAGTAATCTTTGATTATGATGTCAAAAGTACAACGGAGAATGTCGAATGAGACCAATCAAACTCTTGTTGAGGAACCTGTGACCAAGCAAAGATGGTGGGTATCTAACTTGAGTTAATGTAGATTCTGAAACCGGCCCTTAGTTTGAAAAAGGTTTTAATTGTGGCCCCCCTTTTGTAAATGAGTTCGACACCTCTGGTTTAGACAAACGAAAAGTCATGAAAGTGACACTTGCATAGGATTTGGAGGCCCCAAAAAAATCCTATCAAACTCTCACTCCTTGGCCGAAGAGAGAGAGCCTGATATTAAAAAAACACCCCGCACATAGGCACATAGTGACGCAGACATTCTGCAGGGGAGGGGAGACGACCAGAGCGGTGAGCGTGTCCAAGGACACTCCAGAGGCACTTTAGGAGTTCTGATAAGAATGGTGTAATCAGTCAGTTCCCTCTGGGTGAGATCCGTAAACACAGAATGGGATAAAAGATTCATTTAGTTTCACTTTCAGGTTAACAGACTGAAACGTATAGAAAAGCATGAGCAAACCTGCCCAGGTCTCATTAAGCATGTTTGTAGTTTTCTGACACCCGGATCGCTGCTGTACTACAGCTACAAGTGATTTAATCAAATGTTTATATATAAAAAAAATAATTAGTTACAAGCTTTAAAGATAACCCGCTGTTGAACGACAAAGGCTGATTTGTGTTGTCCGTCTGTTAGCAAAATATCTCATAAACCACTGAACAGATTTTAATGACTCTTGCA